GCCATCACAAAGAAATTACAAAAGGCCCCATCTTAAGGTGGTGCAGCGGACTAAAGTACTGTTAAGTAGCACTTCGCTGCCAGCTGCCTGCAATTACTACAAGTTCAAATCTCACCAGGCTCAAGGTTGATTCTGCCTTCCATCCTTCCGAGGTAGGTAAAATGAGGACCCGGATTGTGGGGGCAATAAGCTGACTTTGTATAAAAAAGAACACCGCTTTGGGTGGTGGTGCAAAAGCCCTACTAAGCAGGTATATACAAAAGTATGAAGGCTATTGCTTAACACATTGTAAGCCGCCCTGAGTCTTTGGAGAAGGGCGGCATATAAATCGAACCAATAAATAATAAATAAGTAAATAAGTAAGTAAGTAAGTAAGTAAGTAAGTAAGTAAGTAAGTAAGTAAGTTCCAATGGAAAACAGTTTAGTTGCTGATATTCCTGCAGCTCAACTTTCACTTCAGTAAATTAGTTAAGAAGATTTTGGACAGTCTGTTACTGGACAGATGATTACTTTTACCTTAAGTCTGTTGCCTAAGAACCTGATCCCATATAAGCAGTTATCCATAACCAAAAGGCTTAAGGCAGAAAAAGTGCCGAGGGAAAAAGGAGAGCAAAGCTTGAAATAAGCGTGAAACTTTATGCCTTTTAATAATGTTCGTTGGTTGGAAAAAGTGGCTATCGGACCCCTTCGGCTTGCAAAATTCAGAAATTGCTTCGTTTGCGCTCGGATGAGTATTTCGGATCCCGTGGCTGATGGATGTTAATTCTCTGGGTCCGTGGAAAAACTAACAGAATAACAGAAGGGAGGGACCTTGGAGGTCTTCTAGTCCAACCCCCTGCTTAGGCAGGAAACCCTACACCACTTCAGACAAATGGTTATCCAACATCTTCTTAAAAATCTCCAGTGTTGGAGCATTCACAACTTCTGGAGGCAGGTTGTTCCACTGGTTAATTGTTCTAACTGTCAGGAAATTTCTCCTTAGTTCTAAGTTGCTTCTCTCCTTGATGAATTTCCACCCATTGCTTCTTGTCCTGCCTTCAGGTGCTTTGGAGAATAGCTTGACTCCCTCTTCTTTGGGGCAGCCCCTGAGATACTGGAAGACTGCTATCATGTCTCCCCTAGTCCTTCTTTTCATTAAACTAGACATACCCAGTTCCTGCAACCGTTCTTCATATGTTTCAGCCTCCAGTCCCCTAATCCTCTTTGTTGCTCTTCTCTGCACTCTTTCTAGATTCTAGGAAGGTGAAGATAACAAATCAAAGTGCTTCCTTATCAGCTTTGCTCAAGGTACAGGTGGGGCTGGAGATATCCAGTCCTACAGGCTTCAGAAAAGCTCTGGATCCAGGAATGTAGGACCAACAGAGGCTAGGATGATGGAGCCATGGGTTCTAGCATCTTTCTTCTCCGTGACAGCAGTTGTTATCTTGGAGCAGGCTAATTTTTGTGACTTATGGGAGGGAAGCAAAGGTGACCTCATTTTTTTTTATTTTGTCCTGGTCTCCAAGAACTATAGAGACACGGCATCGAGGACATAATAACGGTGGGAGAACTTTTTCCTTGTAAGAGTTATTGATCACAGCAAAGATTGGTGCACTTAGTGTATTTTGTTTTAAAAAGGAAACCCGAGAAACACTGCCGTGGAGTTTCAACGCGTCAATGTAAGAGCACTAAAACAAAGCAGCCAAGCGAAAACTCAATCAATGGATAAAACAAATGCGTTGCACGGGGGGGGAAACCCCATCCACTTGACCTCACAACTGACCTCTCCTTAAGTCATTTTATAATCTTCTTTAGAACCCCTGGTTCAGGAGTGGTATTCAGTGGTGGGTTTAAAATTATTTTACTACCGGTTCTGTGGGTGTGGCTTGGTGGGCGTGGCTTGGTGGGCATGGCAGGGGAAGGATACTGTAAAATCTCCATTCCCACCCCACTCCAGGGGAAGGATACTGAAAAATCCCCATTTCAGCTGGGACTCGGGAGGCAGAGAATAGATGGGGGCGGGGCCAGTCAGAGGTGGTATTTACCGGTTCTCTGAACTACTCAAAATTTCCGCTACCGCTTCTCCAGAACTGGTCAGAACCTGCTGAAACCCTCCTCTGGTGGTATTCACTGACTTTCGCTACTGGTTGCAAATGTGAGCACGTGCGCAGAGCGTCAAACAAGGGACGTAATGTCGTCAGGGCAGATGGGAGGAACCTCCAGCAGCTGCCGCTACCAATTCGCCCGAACCGGATAGAAACGGCTGAATACATCCACTGCCCTGGCTCCTTTTCTCAACCTCCCAACGAGCCCATCTTAAAACAAATATATTAAAATCTCCCAAATGAAAATGCATTATTTATTGGGACATGTATTTTCTTGGCAGAATTCTGGGAACAAAGCAGTTGATGGTTCTTTGAAGAACTGTGCTGGGATTCTTCCTGACAGAACAGCAGTCTTCCAAAAGTTTCAGAGTTAGTTGATAGTTCAGTGGGAAGTCGTGCCCTTCCTTAGGGATATGCAAGAGGAATAGAACAGAGAATACAGAATGCAGAGAGGAGAATACGGAGAGGCCTTCTTTTCGGAGGCAAGATGGAAAATTTGGAAAATTCCTTTAGCAAGGAAACTACAAACCAAAACCTTATAAACACCTTAACCCATTTTAACCAAGTACAAAGATCCATCATTATTTAAGCAAAGGAAAAGAAAATTGAAATGATATAGGATTATGATTTACTAAAAAAAGACTCATTTAAATTGGCCTTTATATAAATGGTATTGTTAAATAGACAGAATTTAGGGAAGTAATTGTGAATTGTATTATGTTGTGTTATTTGAATTAAGAACTTTGATTAAATGTTAAATTGGTATGTTTTCAGGATTAGAGATAAGACTTAAATTTGATGAAGTAATAATTAAATAAAGATTTAATGAATATTGTATGGAGTAATAATAAAATGTAAGGAAGTTCTAGAAATGGAAATAAGATTTAGAAATATAAATATGTTTGAATTGTATTTTTAATAGTGAGTATTTGGGGTAAGAATTGTGTAATGTATTATGAGGTATTAATTGAATTAAGATTTAAGGTGGATTAATAGAAGGGTAATTGCTTTGATTAAGTTAATATGAGCTAGCTTTCTATAAGATGGTAACAGTTGAGACATGTGATAAGTGTTATGGCAAAAATAGAATATATGAAATTTTGTTAAAGATGAACAAAAAGTTGAACAAATTTATGACCGGATCAATGCTCTGTTCCGAAAAGATGTATTGTATGTTTTTTAAATTTTTTTTAAAAAATCCAAAAAAAAAAAAAAAAAGATCCATCTCAAAAGGCTAGACTAACAACCAGCACATAATAATGCTTGAAGTTACAACTGAATAAACCTATTTTAAAAGAAACGAACACGGAAGATAATTTGGAGGCAGGCAATGGGCAATCTGTTTCATTTCATTTCAGATTTTTTTTTTAAAAAAGTGAAACGATAACTCTTCATTTAAAAATGATTTTTACCCTGTTTCCCTCAAAATAAGACATCCTCTGATAATAAACCCAATCAGGCTTTTGAGTGCATGGCAATAAGACCAAGTGCTTATTTCAGGGTTCAAAAAAATAAAATAAAAAAATAAGACAGGGTCTTATTTTCGGGGAAACACGGTACTTTTCTACCGGTAGTGTGCTTATCCAGTTTTGGGGAAAGCGAGAAGACATTTTGGGACTTTAAAGGCAAAAGACACCCCCATATCCTCCAAATATAAAAAATCACAGAATAAAATTTCGACACTGCCTTTAAATAGTTGTACATTAGATCTTGCTCAAGGTCCATTCATTGCCTGCTTCTGACTTCTCTGAGATGTCAACAGCCAACATGAACTTCTTCTTCTTCTTTTTTTTATTAAACAAAACTTTATTCATTCTTAAAAACATTTAAGACATACAAGTTTCTCTTAGTCAAGAAACAAATTTACATATACAGTACACAACTTCACCTACTAACTAATTTCTATTATTATATATACATATATACAAACATACAATGACATATTTCATTTTCTATCCATCTGACAGTGCAGTTTTAATTATATTAATTTCTTCTAAATTTCATCTCTACCCATTTCCCCTCCTCTGATTTCTTCTAAGGCCAACTCAACTCAAGATCCCCATCCAGATGGATTTGGGAAAGTTAAAACACAACCCCGCTCCAGTGGTGGGTTTCTACTGGTTCAGCCCGGTTCGGGCAAACCGGTAGCAATGATGGTGAGCTGAGAGCAAACTGGTTTTCTCTGATGGCCCTCTTGCCTGCCCCTGCGTTATACATACCTTATATTTGGTTATTTTTAGCCCAGCTGAAAGGCGTGGCAGAGCAGATTGCCATGTCTCAGTTGTTCCGTAATACAGTGTGCTTGCGCGAAGCGCAAATTTGGCATGCACAAGCACGTGCATGATGCAAACCGGTAGTAACACCGGTTGAAACCCACCATTGCCCCCTCCACCCCAACCTCAGGGCAAAGTAGCATCTGAGAAAGGAAGATTTGACGGCATAAAAAAATTACATGGACTCTCCCGCTGGTTACATTTGATTGGCAAGATGTATTTTTTTTCCCCCCTGTCTTGAAATGCGTGTGGGTTGACACGAAACTTAACATTCAACTTCAAACGCATTGTTGCTTTTGCTGCGCTGAATACTTTTGCGCTTATAACTTGTCCTTTTCTGTAAGTTCTCCCGAGATTGACAAGACTTCTAAAAGCTCCCTGACAGCTGAGGCTTCAGGGAGTTTGACAGTCTACATAATTAAGAGGCATTTCTTCTTCCTTGTATAGTCTGATTCAGTTAGAATGCCCATTTTGACGCGCTCTAATTGTGACATACACACCCTGGAAAAAAAAATTTTTTGGGGGTCAGAGCTTTTCATGGGTTGATGTAAACCATAGTTAATATCTGCCGCCCTTACATGCCAAGGAGGTGATCATAACAATCCCAATCGTTTTTATTTCGTTGTTCTTTTATTTTAAACAGATGAAGTCATCGGAGATCGATCAAGAATTATTCACAGAAAGTTACTGCCGGGTATGCAGTGCTCAGCTAATATCGGAATCACAACGTGTGGCTCATTACGAGGTAAGAGGTGTGATGCTGGAAGGTGTGGGAAAACCTGATGTCTGCTTTGTTGGTTTGTTGCAAATTGGTAATCTAACAGTGGGTTTGAAGGAAATATACAAAGCAGGAGAGTCCTCATTTTATGGCAGAACATAGAAGTGTTGTGGTCCGCCAGCAGCCTGAGGAGCTGGCAGTGGAGTTGCACAGTGATGAGGCTGAGGAAGAACAGGGGCCAGTCCTGGAGGCTGCGGAAGGCCCAGGTGAGGGCTCTGCGTCGGAGGCAGAGATGGGGCCAGGGCCATCGGGGAGTGATGTGCGGACTCCGGAGCCTCCAGAGGCTGACAGTAGAGAGGCAAAGAAACAGGAGGAGCCTGTTCCTAGTGCACATATGAGAAGAGCTGCCAGAAGGCAAGAGCAGCTACAGCAAAGAGGACGACTCGGGAGTAAGGCCAAGAGATGATTGGCCCCTCCCATAAGGCTTAAAACAGACCATCAACGGCTCTTGGTCTCTTTGTTGGAAAACAACGTTGATAGACTTGTTCTTGTCTTGCTGCACTTATCTCTGGTCGGCGTCTTCTGCTTCTGAACTTTTGCCAAGAGAAGCCTTTGGCAGTTTGCCTAATTATACCAAGGTTGGTGATTAGACTGAAGAATTTGTGTTAAGAAGAATTTGTTTTGATTTAGTTTGGACTACGCTGAGAATCAGTTAATTCTCAGCTGTTCTAATAAAATCTGCTTCAGTGATAATGGGGTGATGTTATGTATATTGTGTTAAGTCAATAGTGGCCAAATAGTCTTAAAGACCTGGCATGTTTAATCTTGAAAAAAAAAAAAGGAGACTGAAAGTGGAACTGATGACACCTAAAAAATGGCCATACAAAATAAAGTCCAGTTCTTTTGTGTGTCATTATACACAAACACAAGTCTGGGATGCTTTAGTTTAGATTCCTGTACTAAGGTGTTGTGACTTAGGCCCAAGTAGTTATTACCGGACACAATCAGTCCTAAACAAACGTATTTTATTAGAACAGCTGAGAATTACTTCATTCTCAGCTTAGTTCAAATTAAGTCCAAAACAAAAGTCCTTCGGCCTTTTCACCAACCTTTGTCTTCTTTGGCATCCTGCCAAAGGCTTTTTTTTGGCAAAGCCCCACGAAGTTCAGAAACAAGAGACGCCGACAAGAAACAAATGTAGCAACGTTGCTTTCCTACAAAGAGCCCAAGAGCCGTTGCTGCTCTTTTAAGCCTTCTGAGAGAGGCCAATCATCTCCTGGCCTTACTCCCGAGTCGTCTCTTTTGCTTTAGCTGCTCTTGCCTTCTGGCAGCTCTGTGCATGCATGCATTAGGAACAGGCTCCTCCTGTTCCTCTGCCTCTCTGATGTCCGACTCTGAAGGGTCCAGAGTCTGCACATAATTCCCAGACGGCCCTGGCCCCATCTCTGCCTCCAATGCAGATCCCTCATCTGGGCCTTCCGCAGACTCCAGGACTGGCCCATTGTCCTCCCCAGCCTCCTCACTATCCGACTCGGCAGCCAGCTCTGCAGGCTGCTGGCGGACCACAACATAAGGAGGACGTGAGAGTCTGAATAGCCCTTCAAAGTCCATGTTTCATCTTCTGAAATATTTAACTTATGATATCAAATCAAATCTTTATGGTGGTCACAGACCAGCATAAACTTAACATACTGATTTTTATGAAGCCACTATCAAATATTTCAAACTTGCAAAAATGGCCTGACATTTTTATCTCCATCATCCACTCTGGTGATATTATTTTTTTTTTGTTTTCATCATCGTGTCTTCTGCAAAGGATGAGAATAATAAGGAGGAGGTTGTTGATGTGTCCATTGGAAAAATATTCACCTATCCCAGCTGAGAAGAGGTCTGACAAATGGAGTTTGGCTAAAGCTGTATAATTAATGCTGATCAGTTACCCAGGAAAGGGAAGGGAAATGAAGGAAGAAGGGTTTTTCTGCAAACCGATCTCTGAGAATTTCAATACGCATTGATATAATTCATCATCTGATAAATTAATGTAGCGTTTTATCATCTCGGCCAGATTTTAACACATTCTCTGCTGGTTTTCTTCCTCATGTTATGAATTCGCGTCTTAAGGGGATGGACTTCAAAAATTTTAGCAAGGGGTTCCCTGCCCAGTTGCTGGGTGGGCGTGGCCATGGTGGGCGTGGCCAAGTTGGCCTCCTGAACCACGGCGGAAGGGGGGGGCTTTTTGCCCTCCCCGGGTTCCAGAGGCTTTCCTTGAGCTGAATTCCTTCCCGAACTTCCGATAGGCCTGTTTTTTGCCCTCCCCGGGCCTCTGCATGCGTCTGCACTTACCTGCATCCAAAACCGGCTGCGTGGGGACTCCTGGGAGGGGCGGGGCAGGGTGGGAGGGGCCAGCCAGTAGTGGGATTTGGGGGTTCTCTGAACCACACAGAAGCTTAGCTAGAGGTTCTCCCAAACCACTGTGAACCCCCAGCAATGCACCCCTGGCGTCTTAGCTCAAAAGTGTAGATTAAGCAGGCATCTTTGGAGAGCAAAAACATTTGAGAAGAGACACGATGAAAAGAACATATGCTTAAGATTAAACGTACTTTCTCAAGAAGCTTTCTTTAATCTGCTGCCTAATGCAGAATGGGTCATCATATATTTATACGAGGATCTGAGTAAAAAGTGATACAGCCCCCATAACAAAGACTTTTCTGTCCGTCTGTGAGAAAAACATTATTTTTTCTGCTTTACAGAAAGATTATTTGCATGAATGCAGTAGATTCCATTACTTACTTCACTTATTATTATTTATTATTAGATAGCTGGTGTAGGAAGTTAGCATCCACCCCTCTCCTAGCAGAATGAAATATTCTAGGAAATATTAAAAAGGCAGACTATTATGTTTCCCTGGATGAGAAATGGAGAAACATGTTTTTTTTAGAGGCAGGAAGCAAACTCGTCTCAATAGCCCCCCACCCTCCTCAATAGCCCACAGCAGATGTCAGCACTTAAGAGATAAAGAGATAGCTAGGACTACTCATAAGCAAATGCCCTCACCCAAGATCCAAGAAAGATAGAATATAATAAAATAGAATTTTTATTGGCCAAGTGTGATTGGACACACAAGGAATTTGTCTTTGGTGCATTTGCTCTCAGTGTACATAAAAAGATAAGATACGTTCATAAAGAATCAAAAGGTACAACACTTAATGATAGTCATAGGGTACAAATAAGCAATCAGGAAACAATATCAATATAAATCGTAAGGATATTAGCAACAAAATTACAGTCATACAGTCATAAGCGGAAGGAGATGGGTGGTGGGAACGATGAGAAGATTAATAGTAGTGCAGACTTAGTAAACAGTTTGACTGTGTTGAGGGAATTATTTGTTTAGCAGAGTGATGGCATTCAGGGGAAAAAACTGTCCTTGTGTCTAGTTGTTCTGGTGTGCATTGCTCTATAGCGTCGTTTTGAGGGTAGGGTAGATAAGATTAGCCCTCTACCCATCTAGCAACAGAACTCACCACATGGCACCTGGGGAGATTGCATCACCCAGCAAGGCTCAACCAAGCCTGGGACTCAAAAGACAATCTATAAAGTTACCCCTGCATGGCCCAGTGGGAATCTCACAACCCATCAGATGACAAGCTCAAATTCAAAGCCCAACAGAGGGTATAAATCTCTCTCTCTCTCTCTCTCTCTCTCTCTTTTCTCTCTTTCATCTCTCTCTCTCCCTCTCTCCTCTCTCTCTCTCTCCTCTTTCTCTCCTCTCTCTCTTCTCTCTTTCATCTCCCTCTCTCCCTCTCTCATCTCTCTCTCTCTCTCTCTCTCTCCTCTTTCTCTCTCTCTCTCTCTCAATTAAACTAAATTAAATATCTCTCCTCTCTCTCTCCTCTCTCTCTCTCCTCTCTCTCTTCTCTCTTTCATCTCTCTCTCTCCCTCTCTCATCTCTCTCTCTCTCTCTCTCTCTCTTCCTCTTTCTCTCTCTCTCTCTCTCTCTCTCCTCTTGGGCGGCATAGAAATGCGATAAATTAAACTAAATAAAATATCTCTCCTCTCTCTCCCTCTCTCTCTCTCCTCTCTCTCTTCTCTCTTTCATCTCTCTCTCTCCCTCTCTCATCTCTCTCTCTCTCTCTCTCTCTCCTCTTTCTCTCTCTCTCTCTCTCTCTCCTCTTGGGCGGCATAAAAATGCGATAAATTAAATTAAATATCTCTCCTCTCTCTCTCTCTCTCCTCTCTCTCTCTCCTCTCTCTCTTCTCTCTTTCATCTCTCTCTCTCCCTCCCTCCTCTCTCTCTCTCTCTCTCTCTCTCTCTCTCTCCCATGTGCCTTTTTGCCCAGGACCTCGAAACCATGTGGTCCTGTCCACCATTAAACCATCTTTTCAAGCAGTCTCCATGTATCCAGTGTCTTTCTCCTCACTTGGAACTGAACCCAGATGTACATTTCTTCCAGCACTAATGCATGGTGTAGCGGTGAAGGCCCAGGAGTGATGCAACTTCTTATTGCATTTTTGCCCTGTCCACTGCAGGTCTCGCACCTCCCTGGTTCCCTTGAGTGCAGCTCTTGATCATGGTCATGTTCCCCACCCCTGCAGTGAAGGAGAATCTTCATTTTTCACCTCTCAAGAAAAAAAAAAAAAGAAATCAGAAACGCTCTTCATTCTCAAACGTGGAAAGCATAGAAAGGAGATAGAAAGAGCCTGGCACAGCCACTTGACTTGGTAGGAGCTGAGCCGATCAAATGCAAATCGAATGAACAAAACAGAAAAACAAACGGATAATTTTTTTATAGTATAATTTTATTGCCAAGCATGTTCTCTAACTGCATTACACGCTACTGTCTTGAATTGCTGTAATAAGATTGCATACTGAGCTTACAGTTCCCCCCCCCCCCCCCCCATGCTGCTTGTTTCCCAATTCCTGCCCCGGAAAAAAAAACAGAACACTTATGATAAAAAAATCATTTTATAATAATTTGTTGATTCCTTTCGAATGAAGAACTTAACCGTACCGGAGCTGGAATTCC